TGTTTCGTTACGGAGTTATGCATGATCAACGAAAATTTTAAGGGGTGGTCGGAGACTTTTGGTCACCCACTGTACATAAAAAAAGAATGTCTCGAAATCTTCAGAAAAGTAGCCTTGTCCATCTATAATTATAATTATTATATTATTTGTTGGTCAAATTCGAACTTAAAAAAATTTTTCTAGTCTTGTTTTTTATTTTCGACTGTACATCTAATGTAAAGCGTTCGAGTTAGAATCATCCGCATCATTATCCTCCAATTTAAACCAACTGTGGTCAGTTAGTTTTTCTTGAACGTCTTGCGGCTTGGTGAGTCCTCGAAATTTTTCCCCTTCCTCAACCCACTGCTCGAATTGTCGACGGTTACCAAGAACATACATATATCGAGGATTTTTCTTTACGACTTCTTCAAAGCGCGACGATGGTTGATATGAGAACAGTGCACTCCACAACGTGTTACCAAAGTCGCTGATAATATCATAAATGGAATGTCAGCTCATAACGATAATATTCAAATAAGCGATGTCGCTAACAATGTCACCTACTCTGTATCTAGCACGAATCTTGCCCGCAATCTCAAGATTTCTCGTTTCCCGAACACCTTGGCTGCGGCATATATATCGCCCATGATAGCAATAAGGATATTTAACATAATAATAACTAGAAGCAAGCTTGCAATGACGGTGAAAATTGTAACTGGATAGTAATTCCAGTCCACATTATCCCATCTCCCGTTCATCCAATTATAAGAGGATAACACAGAAGTCCAGAAACTTGCAAAACTATTGTCAGACACATCTTGTGGATTGTAATTTTGATATACTGTATAATTAGTCTGTTCGACGCCGCCATCAGGAGTTGTCATGTTGACACCGAGTTGCAGGACATTTGGTGACAGACCAATTTGTGTTGGATCATGCAAAAGCACGTACCTTTGGTGTGAAACGCGGATTTAGTATTTTATATGACTCTTTCAAGAAATAATGTAATATATTTGAAACTACTTACATGGCATGCCCGAATGCTACAATGAGTATAAACAATGACACCAAGAACGGTAAAATGTGCGAGATGATGTTGCTGATTATGAACACATAAGAGCCGATAGCTGTGACGTTTGGCAAGTACAACGTTAAAGGTTAAATATTACATAAAAATACTCGAAAATCGAAAATCGTGTCTCACCTTCAAATGGTCTTAGAAGCAACAGTAATTGGAACCACATGGTGAATGTGCTAATGGAAATAAGGAATATAATACCTCTGTCTATTTCTGTCTGGCTAAATCCCCATGCCCCATTGTCATCACGCGTTGCTCTGGATGTCAAGACTGCAATCGTTATTATAGGAAGAATAAACGAACATACGTTGACTACGTTGTAGAATGTCACGCTTTTTCGTTTATGATTTCGCATTTCAGTCACTTCAAACAATGCATAATATGTCCCAATTACAAAAAGGTATGTAACTACAGCATAATGACTGTTGTTTTGATGAATGTATTCCCATATAAATATATCAAAGGCTATCAAATAAGAAAAAAACAGAATCAAAAAGGCGAAATAGAGATAGGATGCACCCTCCCATGCATAATTGATAAGGCCAGAAACAACCGGATTATCGAAGAATATTTCACTATTCTCATCATCCACAGCTTTCTTTAGAATCTTAACGACGTCGGTGTCAACTGGTACCGGAATACGACGCACAGTATTTACACGTGTCTCAGGATCCCTAAAAGACAAAATCGCGTGAAATCATTAAAACGAATGACTAGAAGCACGAATATGATATTAAAAGTCTGTGGGATACTTTCTAAGATTTTAGGCTACCAAAATCCTCAAGTTGCGAACCCCATCCCCAATGGAATACATTTCATCCTTGCCGTACCTTACTCTGTCAAATATACCTTCGATCATTTTCAAAGCAAATGAGAAGGGCGTAAGCATAAATTTTACTATCGCCCCAAGCTTAACGTTCCGAAGCCGTCGTTTCGATTGATCAACCCGTAACTTGAACATTAGCGCCGTGCCCTCTACTGTAGTCATATGGGCATGTCTCAGATTTTTAATTACGTCACTTCTCGTTAATAACTTCAAGTCATCGTGAATCTCTGGTAACGATCGAAAAATGGTTGTGTAAGATGCGGGAGGATGCTTATGACCATGTGATGTATCTCCGGCGAACGTCGGATGAGCAAACAATCTCTTTCTATTAATATCCAGGTCTAATAGAAAGGTAAATGGTAAGAAAAACTTGGTGATAAATGTAGTACCAGATTTAATCGACTAATATTTTGTTTCAATACTCACTGTTTCCTTTAGATGACTCGGATAACGCCGATAAAGCTCGTCCCACTGTATGCATCCAACTATAATGGTCTTTGGCATGATGAGCATAGTACGCGAGAAAGTTCTCGGTCAACTTGTCGTTTTTCTCGATGACTATCATTATATCAGTCTTCTTCTCTTTCGGTTTTCCGTTATCACTGTGCCATGAGTATTTTCGCGGAATGTGTAACACGCGACGATCCTTTTCATCTTTATTGTCTTCATCATCACTAACTTTAACCAAGTCTTGTGTCAGGCGAGAACATCCTCCGATGATTAAGGACTTCATCAAGTCATGTCGCACTTCGAGTAGCCTCCATTCATCAGGATGATTATTAATAAAAATGCGAACAATATTGGTAACTTGATGTTTGATTTCGTCGAACAATACGCGTCTCTCGTGTTTATAGTTCTTGTCCTTCTTCTTATCCAACCATTCAAGGGCTTTACATGCATCTATAACTTTTTTACTAGGATCAACTGGCCATTTGAATGACAAGCCATCATCCAGCCCGATTTTGAGATCGAACCCATTTTTGTAAACGGTGATAGTGACCTCCCTCGGCTTTGCTTTGGAATCAGTTGCAATGCCCTCATGCGCATACATGTACGATAATAAACGATTACCATCTGGAAGACGCTTCCATATTTGTATAGAATCTCTTCCGATAAGAAGTTGTCGTCGACTTTTCTCCTCATTTCCATCTAGCCATAAACCTATTATATTGTTACCATCTGAT